TTGTACAGGTCTCCATGCAGAGATTTCGGTCTGCCAATTTGACTTCTGCCAACATACATCTCCCCTCTATCCCACAGAGCAGCGCTTCAATTCCCTATATATAGTGTTGCATGTATATGTCCCCATCCAGCCCACCCTGTGCCACCTGTAGTCCCTCAAGTGCTGTGTGTTTTCTCCTCCAGGCTGAAAAGAAGGCACAAAACCTGCTAGCAAAACACTGCAACCAACCTGTCATCGTTGATACTGTCCCAGCTGATTCCCTCTCTGTGAGTAATGCCCATTACTTGTAGGCCCAGCAGTACCTCGGGCGCTGCATGCCGTAAGAGGGAGCTGCTGGGCACGTTCTCTGCTGCACGCCAGCGCCTTTGCTGCAGCCTGACCCCTCTTCTCCCTGCTTCTCCTAGATCCTAATGAAGGTAGTGAACCAGCTGTGTGATAAGTCCCCTGGCACGTCAGTCCTGCTGCTCAGCCCCCAGGCGTCTGGTGAGGTGCTCTGTGCCTGTCAGGTGGCCAAGGTAAGCAGAACCCTGATAGGGACATGGGGAACCTGCCTGCAAAGGGGGACCGGACCCACTGCTCAGCAGATCCCAGTTGAGGCTTTTCCTGGGATTCTGCCCAGCGTTAGTGATTAATCACACAGGGGTAGGACCTGATACGACCATACTGGGACCTGATATGTGGTCAGTCTGTGCTGGGCACAGATATCCCTGGATCCTCCAGGCCATGTTTGCCCAGTGGCAAGACAGCATTAACATGTCTGCTCAGCCTTTGCCTTCCTCAGTCTCACCTGCCTGGGGTTAGCGAGGGCCCAGGCTGCCTGAACAGAGGTTGTTATTCCTTATCCGGACTGCAGAGTGTTCCACAGTCCAGGTGACTTTGCTCTGTGTCTCTCCCCAGAACTGCCTCCCCATGTTCTCTGCTGCTGACTGGGCCGTGGCTGTCTGCACACAGATGGAAGGGAAGGCAGGAGGCTCTCCTGTCGTTGCCAAGGGCAGTGGAAATGCCAGGGGCATGCAGGGAGCCCTGACTACTGCACTGGAGTTCGCTCAGAGTAAACTGTGATGCTGTGGTGGCAGGACAGCTGTATGCACCCCAGCTGCCGGCTACGTGGACACCTGATGCAGGGCACGTACGCTGCTGGTCCAAAAGGTTTAGCAGCTCCCACGCTGAGCATTGCTGCAGGTGCTGCATTGGAGTGCTTTTGACCATCTGAGGTCAGCAGCGACTCCGCCTCTGATCCCCCAGCAGATGCTGCCTGTTCTCAGCACGAGCATATGGGGATTGAGCCCGGACAGGATAGTACTGGTTGCAACAGCACATCCTGCTTCTCCTGGAACAGTGGACTGCTTGCCACAAGACCAGCAGAGAGGCTTCGTGAGAGCATGGGAAGATGGCACAGTGTTATCCTGAAGCCATAAAAAAATAGAGATTGTCTGATTCCCTGATGTTTCTTGTTACCAGCAGCGTTTTTTGTGCTCTGCTCTGGCAGAGGGGTTTGTTCTGTCCCTGCAGCCCAGCAGGTTAGCACGCCCTCTTGTCTAAGCAGTCCTGTCCCACTGCAGGACTCGGGACACCCCTCCAATTAAAAATGCTACTGTAATTTATAAATGGGAAGAGAAGTCCCATCCTGCTTGCAGGCTCAGCCTTGTTAGGCTATGCAGCGAACAGGTAGTGCTGAAGCCAGTCCTCGGTACTGAAGCACAGAGGGAACAAAATCATCCCAGCTTCCACGTCTTTGCTTGGGATGAATGTTCTTACCCTTGTTTCTTCCTGCCACTCCCTTGTAACCGGGAGACTGCCTTCTGGCTTCGTACTTCCCAGCACCTACCTAAAAAGCACCGTGGATCTGGTGAGTGGTGTGAACGGGAACTGTTGCTGTGTCGCAGCAGGACATATGTAGCCTTGGGGTGAGCGGATCTTTCTCCTAAAGGGGACATTTTTCACAAGCACTAGCAGACCCAGCTAACTCAATTCATAAGGACATTTCAGACTTCATTGCTAGTGTGCTGTCTAGAGCTCCTGGCCAAAGTGCCATTATTTTAGGTACGATATTGACCTAAATAAAAGACATCACAAATGGTAGCTGAGGCAAAGGTGCAGTAGTGATACAAGTGGGTTTCACCCTGTGAGCAATGACGGCACCCTGATGGTGCTGAACTTCACCAGCAGGTAGGGTTGCCTGGCGCTGTGGAGGGAGTTGGAGGCAGTATGCTGCGTGGTTTTGTGGAGAGGAGGAGCAGGAGTGGAAGCACATTGCTGATGGATGTGGAGCAGGAAATGGCTGTCACTAGATAGGGATGGGTGAAGAGGATGTAGCGAGGAAGGGCCCGGTCTCCTAATGAGACTCCTGTCACACTTTGCTTAGCTGTCTTTGTGAGGGGGGGAGGGTGAATAGCTGCTGTGAGCAGAGCCTCCTCTCCCTTCTCTCAGTGAACAACTCGTCTGGGAAAAAGGGAGGTGGACTTAGAGGCATCACTAGAGGACAAGGGGTTTTATTCCCTATCTCAGTGGCTGTCCAGCTCTAAATCTCCTGTGTGGCACATAAAGCTTAATGTGGGGCTAACCCATCTTTGCAAAGTGCCAGGAGCACTTGGACAAGTGCCAGGCACCAATGTGAGGACTTGAAGGCAGGAAGGAATGGGAAGCTGTTAAGGGCTGGTGGTGCTCCCCGCTATCCTCCTCTGCTCCCCCAAAGCACTGACAGCTGCAGCGAGAGGGCAGACATTCAGCCTTTCGTCCGGTAAACCCTGCTTCCAGCCAGCGAGCTTCAAGCAGGGCTTGTTGCGAAGGGGACTGTGAGCCATCCGCCCTAGGCATCTGCCCCTGCTGCCAGGAGTTCGGCCTCCAGAGGGATGCGCAGGCCCCTTTCATCACTCCACCGATGGGGCAGATTCCTGCCCACCCCAGGCCCCGCCTGCGTTCCCCTATGCTGTAGCAGAGCAACTCAGTGCTTCCTCAAATTTCTTTCATTTCTGGATGCTGCTGGTGCTCGTGACATCTCTGCAAGGAACCTGAGCACAGGGGAAGAGCTGGAATGCCAGGCCCAGCGCTTCAGGGACCTTGTGGCAAGGCTGGAAGGATGCTGGCGAGGGTGCGTGGGGTCCCAGGGCTGGGTTGAAAGCAGCATCAGTGCCTGGCGTTGCACGGCTCCCGAGTTTCACTTGGGCCACAGCCGTACTGGGTGCAGGGAGGGGAAGGGGTGCTCTGTCTTACTGGGGAAGCGCTCGCCCGGGGTGCTTTCATGTTCCGGTATTAATAGCTGCTACAGGAGATGATGCCTCCTCTCGGTATTGGTGAGGAGGAGGAGAGGAATGCTGGGTTGAGCTGCTCCTGCACCATGCTGCAAAAGCAGAGCCTGAGCTTGCCAGCAGCAGCCTTACAAAAATAACCCCCTTTGGCCTGATTTTTAGCTTAAAAAACACTGATGGCCTGTAGGCTTTTGCCCAGCCTCTCCAGGGGCAGGGCTCTGCGCTGACCTTCAGGCCGTGCCTTCACTGGCGGGGAAGCTGAGCCCCTGTCGCTGTTGGCCTGGAGGCCCGAGGGCTGCTGCTGTGGAGGCAACCGGAGCGGTGGCTCTTGGGGCCATGGGAAGGAGATCCCTGGGGGTGGTAGCACAGGGGGGGCTCGGCCACCTGCAGAGCCCTTCCCAGCTTTGCTCTGCCCACAGCTACCTGTGGGGTTCTGCTTAGGTTGGGGGGGGGTTTGCTCTGCAACAGCCACGCGCTGCGTGGGATCAGGCCAGCCCTATCGCATCTCCACACCAATATGGTATCCGTATTTCTCAACTTTTGCACCTTCAGCTGGAACTATAGCCCCTTCTCTGCATCTGTAGCAGCCCCAGCACCTCTTGCGCCCAGGGGTGCTGCATCTCCTGCACCACCTTCATGGAAACCTTAAAAACCATCTAGTCAGCAGGGCTGCAGCCTGCTGCAACGGCACTGGCTCTCTCCCACCTCAGCCAGGGGCAGTCCTGGGGGGATGTTCTAGCATGGAGCCTATTGGCTTTCTCTTCTTCTGCTGTTCTTGGCCTTTCTGGGCACAAAATTCAGCATTTCCCTTCCTCTTTCTGAGCCTGCAATGGTCACTGAGGTCACAGCATAACTAAGTCACAATCTTACTAGATCTTATAAGCTCGGTAGCATTAAACCTGCCCTGTAATTAAAGGACAAAAAGGATCTTATCCTACCAAAGAGTAGTGGGTTGCTGCAGCAGAAATGCTGAGGGCTGAGCTGCAGCCGTGCCAGGCCATGCTGATCCTAGGAGCATGCGTTTCCCGCTGTTCTCCTGGTGAACCCTGTGTTTCTGTGGCAGATCAAGCAGTGCTCAGCTGGGAGGGCTCAGGGGAATGAAACATGAGTTTTAAATGTACTTCTCCAGCCAAAATAGCAGCCTACGTTCTCTAACAGTCATCAAGGTGGGAGCAGGACTCTGGGCACACATTTGCAACTCCAAACACAAGCAGAAGGGGCGGCAGGAGGCGGGAAACTAATTAAAGAGATGCTGCGTATTTTGCTGTGAGCAGGTGCTGTCAGGTTGGCAACACCTCCGTGAGTCCAGATGGACCCCGAGGTCCCCTAAGGGCACGTGCAATGTGAGGGTTCATTAGTCCCAGTCCCAAGTGACTGCCTGGCTATGGCAAAAGGGAAGTAGGAAGTACGTGCTTGTCTCTTCTCGCCCGCTTTGCTCCAGGAGTTTCGGTCTTGATAGCCTGGGCTGCAGAGCGAGAGGCTGGCAGGCAGCACCTGGGAGAAGCCTGGCTTGTCCTAGACACCCCTTACTACTACTAGCTCTGGGCCTGGCTGCTGTAGGGACCCCGGATCCTGTGGGACTCCCTGTGGGAAGGTGCTGGGATCATAGCAGTGGTAGCTCAGCCACACATATGCTGAGCCACAGGCTCAAAGGCCTTGGGGTTTGGTCCCTCGTGGCTGGAGCTGAGCATCTCCCGGAGACACTAAAGGTAATGTAGCGTGTCCAAGCCGAGCTCTGCAGGGAGGGAGGACACTGCAGGGTTTGGTGCAGGGAACCACAGCTCCTCCCATACTGGGAAACCTCATCCCTGCCACTGGTGCGGGCAGGAGGTGGCCACAGGACCATGAGGAGCAGCTGGGGTCTCCCAGCACCCACTGGCCACCGCTGCCCTCTTGCCAGCAGCAGTGAGCACTCTCCTGGCTTGCAGCCCAGCATAGAATCACAGAATCACAGACTGGTTTGGGTTGGAAGGGACCTTAAAGACCATCTAGTTCCACCCCCCCTGCCATGGGCAGGGACACCTTCCACTAGACCAGGTTGCTCAAAGCCTCATCCAGCCTGGCCTTGAACACTTCCAGGGATGGGGCATCCACAGCTTCTCTGGGCAACCTGTTCCAGTGCCTCCCCGCCCTCTCCGGGAAGAACTTCTTCCTGATATCCAATCTAAACCTCCCCACTTTCAATTTAAAGCATGGCACTGAGCAGGTAGAAGCAGCAGATCCCAGGCACCCGCTGTAAGGATTCACACTTGCACCTATGCAGATCTCCCTTCACATGATTTTAGGTGTGATTTCCCTTGCCTGGAAACACTGGAACAGGCTGCCCAGAGAGGTGGTAGATGCCCCATCCCTGGAAACATTCAAGGTGAGGCTGGAGACTCTGAGCAACCTGACCTGGTTGAAGATGTCTCTGCCCATGGCAGGGGGGGTGGACTAGGGAGCGTTAAGAGGCCCCTCCCAAACCATTCTGTGATTCTGCGTGACAGTGTACACTGAGCTGGTCACATCACACGTGACCCCACACCCGTGTGGGTTCCTGGGTCACTGTCACGCGGGCTCTCCGCTCCCGCAGCAGCCGGGCACCCGCGCCGAGCAGCACCCGTGCGCAGGCAGCTGCTGCACAGGACGCACAGGCTGCAGTGGTGCACCTGTGAATCCAGAACACTTGCGATGGATGTCCCATCGGGAGCAGCTCAGGGCCACCTTGAGATGTACCAGAGGTGTTCAGTGGAGGGACAGGCAGCACATAGGGCAGGAGCAGCCCCTGGGCCTGGCGATGAGGGGCAAGGGGGTCCCTGAGCCCCAGCTCCCAGG